TGTAGGCGTAAGTAACGGTAATTAAATCACTGACGTTGCGATATCATCCATTGCTGCTGAAGCTCCTTGATAACCTTGTCGGCGTTTTGGAGCTGATCAGGAGAGGGACGCTGTATTGGTCGACGCGGTTGCGCGGTCGGTGGCCCGCCCTGCTGTGGCGGACGACCCTGGAGATGTTGAGGATGCATCGGCGGCTGCCCACCGTTCATCATGCCGTTCGGACCCATCTGTCTACCCATGATCTGCGATTGCTGCTGTCCGTTCAGGTTGTTCATCGCCATTTGCATGTTGAGGAGATTCTGCTGCGCGGGGTTTGGCTGAGAGGAGCCTTGTCCGGCCGATGCGAGCTGCTGCATGTTCCCGTTCATGGCGTTGAACCGTTGCTGTTGTTGTTGCTGCTGCTGTTGGTGGAGCTGAAGCTGGGACAGCTGCTGCAGGCGCATGGCATATGCTGGGCGAGGTCCAATCCTAGTGCGGACAATTTTGGGCCAAAAACTGGTCTCATGTTTGATCATAGTGCGTACATTTTCGGCCTCCGAAGGACCCCAGGTCCGATCCCAAACGAGACAAAAGTGGTGAACTTGCAACAAGGTCCGATCCCACCATAGCCTACAGTGCGCACAAAAGTGATAAGATGAATCCTGAGAGATCCTCTCCAGAGACTTCCCGACGAAGTGCGCACATAATAGTGAATAATGCCCATATTTTCGAGCTCCATGCTGGGCAATGTCCGATACGAAATGCGTACCAAACGTCCTCCAAAACAGGGCAACCGATCCGAGTGCGTACATTCTGCTCCCAAACCGGTCCGGACAAAAAGGGCAAAATCCGGCGGTTTTGGATCGGACCTCCCTAGGCATATGCCATGCGCCTGCTGCTGCTGGCCGGGGATGGAAGGAAGCTCCACAGCTGTCAGATTTCCTCTACAGGTGAACCTTTCGTGGAACTTTTGTCACGCATCCCAGAATAACCTGGGATTCCGAATTCGGGGCGAGGTCTCCCCCGGCTCACCTTTTGGGTGTGATTTAGGACTAGAACGAGTTCTACATCGTTACGGACAGGCATCCACTCTCGAGAACCTGCAAGACCTTCCACACCTATACCTTTCCGTATCTCGGGTTACTCGATTAAGACGGGTGCACATCAGTGCGCGGGTGATCTTGTGCCGGTGCCAGCCGAGTTCACGAGGCCGGCACCTGCCGTCCACTCGAGCGCGAGTGCGAACACTTCGCCCTCCGCTCTCCGCTTTCTCTTCATCGGTTTTCTGCTCCTCGAATCGTTCCTTCGCCACTCGCTACGTCGTCGCCAGAGTGTTCACGCTCGGCACGCGTGTTTTTCTGTTTCTTTGCATAGTAGCCTCCCGCCATCATCCACCACGAACTGTCGAAGTATAGGGCCGTCTGTATTTGCAGGCTGGCAACCCTGTCTTTTGATCTCCGTCGCTGGAGCTATCGTGTAGGGTCTGTCTGGGAAGAGTGAACGAGGCAGGATGGCGCCTGAACTGGCTTGTTTAGCGTGCAGCGGCCATGTCTTGGCCCGTGCGGTGTTGAGCTTCCGCCAGCCTAGGTGTGTCGTACGTGGTTGATCAGCCACAACATCGTATACTAGTTATCAGGAGACACATTTCAAGTAGAGCCGGACAGAAGATAAACACGAGTTCATTGGTTTCTGCGGAAGGAGAGGCCAAACGAGATATTGTGGCACAAGACAAAAAGTGTATGTAAGCTACACAGACGGACAAAATAGTTGACCACCCCCATATTCGGCAATTCTTTCCGGCATGTGTCTCCCCTCAAGTACAAAGGTTCTTGTGATGGTACATACACCAGGATAGTCTACTGTGGAGGCTACATTTATAGGGTAGATAGTTGTACATCATAGTTGTAGGGTTGAGCCGTGGTAAATCAAAAGAGTCGAATTTTGAAGGGTCTGTGGGGAATTTTATATAGATGGATACATAGGTGATTTGCAAGCCAAGAAAAGTTCTGAATACATCTTTGATGGTATGGATTTGTTCAATGATTTTTGCGGGATTTATGGACGAAAAGCCCATGAGCAGTGGTCCTTGCAAGGTCAGTGTGGCACCTTGCACTATCGGGCACCCCACCTGTATAAAATCAGCAGGACAATTTGGAGCCAAGCTGCATGCATTACATAAATGTTTTAGTGCAGTATAGATATATCTAGAAGAAATCACGGTCTTAGTACCACTCGTTGATTTTATACGAGAGGGGTACCTGAATGTGGAGGGTGCCACACTGACCTCGTAAGGACCACTGCTCATGGGCTTTTCGTCCATAAATCCCGCAAAAATCATTGAACAAATCCATACCATCAAAGATGTATTCAGAACTTTTCTTGGCTTGCAAATCACCTATGTATCCATCTATATAAAATTCCCCACAGACCCTTCAAAATTCGACTCTTTTGAATTACCGCGGCTCAACCCTACAACTATGATGTACAATTATCTACCCTATAAATGTAGCCTCCACAGTAGACTATCCTGGTGTATGTACCATCACAGGGCCCGGGACACTCCTATGAGGGTTTCCCGGTTAAGTTGCGTATTTTTACGCAATCTGAGGGCGAAGCCCTCCCGAAAAATTGCGTATTTAAAGCTCAGGAGCACTGAGGTCTCCCGAAAATTTGTGTATTATTGGTGTGGACCCCCACATAACCTCAACTTTTACCTAACCTAACCTCAACTTCCCCTAACCTACACTAGCACTACCATAGAGATGTGACAGAAGTTGGTTCTGATTAGGCTAGGTTAGGATAAGTTGAGGTTATGTGGGGCTATAAGGGTAAGATCGAGCTTGCATCGCCACACAAAACCCGCCAATAGGCGCCCTTAGTGTTTTGCACGGGTCTGGTTACACCCGCAGTTTTGGAGCACGGTGTGTGGCGGGTACGGGTACGGGTCTGAGGTTCTCAGAACCGTGAAATGATACCGCGAGACCCGCGGTTCTTGCGACGGGTTGGAGTCTTGGTGAGTAGAGATGCTCGAAGGAGCACTATATCCCACTTTTACGACTTGCTGAGCCAATGACTCGGATGAGATTCATTCATCACTTCAGCTCGGGCTCTCGGATGCTCTTGTGTAATGGTCCAGTTTGAGCTTAAGCTCGAATTCCAGGCTGTCAGGGCTCGTCTATGGAGATGTGTTATCCCGCACTCTATCAGTCCCCGAAATAGCGTACGAACCGTCAACGAGAACAACGGCTGTAACTGCCGTTCGGCGTTGTTCCATTGAGTGACGAGTATCACTTGCTATGGGTCGAACCCCTCCGGTGCATGTAAAACACACACATGTTCGACATTGGCACTGTCAGTATTGAACTAGAGTGGGTTGACATGTGGACTTGGCGCGGGGTGGGACGAGGTTCCCATTGAAAAGAGTAACGGTAAGAAGGCCGTGCTCTACAGCGCTCTCGGGCCATGTCTTGGAAAATCGACTCATACTGCCTTTATGGCAGTGAACTTCCTTCAACACCGTACAAAATAACCGCGGTTGAGGAACCGCGGTGGCAAGAGGCAAACACGTGCCACACCGCGGGCTACCCGTACCCGTACCCGTGCGGGTACGGTGTTTGGCGGGTACGGGTACGGGTTCGTCTCTGGCACCCGTGGTTGGACCCGTGCAAAACCCTAGGCGCCCTACCCTTCCCGGAATTTGCGTATTTTAAGCCCTCGCCAGGCCGAAATTGCGTATTTTTACCTGTTTTCGGGGTCGCCCTTCGGGAAACCCTCATAGGAGTGTCCCGGGCCCTACCATCACAAGAACCTTTGTACTTGAGGGGAGACACATGCCGGACAAAATTGCCGAATATGGGGTGGTCAACTATTTTGACCCTCTGTGTATTTGTACTTGTTGAAACGGGAGCCCGACGTCATAATTACGGCGGTGCGAAGGGCCTTGTAAGCAAGGTAACTCCTGTGGCGAGGCGTCCTCTCGCCACTTTACCGCGTACGCCGACCACGAGCCATGCAAGGTCAGCGCCATCTCTGTAGTTATTTCCTAGCGTAAGGCTGATGGTCACGCAAAGGGTTCAATTAATACTACCCACCTGACTACGATGGCGAGAAACACAATAGTCTCAACTCTTACAGAGGTTCGTTACCCCTCAGCCCCTCACGAAAGCACGAACATCCAACGCCTGCCTAACTACAGGAAAGCATGCTCTCGGTGACCGAGCGCGGAAGATTGACCGGGGAATTCTCATAACACGCTTTGAGCTCCCGTTCAATATTTGGTGGTACGTACCACCTTCACTCGTGTACACTTTTGTGGCTCCAAACTGACTCGGCGTGCTTGACTTGTAGTGGACATTGTGATGCGCACATCGGTATGGGCGTGCGGTATAATGCCGAGAAGAAGAAGATTGGGATGTACTACTCGACACCTATCTTCTCCTTCCGGTGTAAGTGTCATCTCTGTAGTGGCTGGTTCGAGATTCAGACGGACCCGAAGGTGTGCTTGGTTCATCCTCTACGTTTGGTATTCACACTGACCACGTCCTCTTCTTCTAGAATACACGATATGTGGTTACTGAAGGAGCACGACAGAAAGACGAAGACTGGGATCCGGAAGAGAATGGAGGCTACGCTGTGCATGGTACGTCTACGCCAACACTCTTGCCCGTACTTCTGCTCTGATATATCGGACATGTCAATCCAGACACAGAAGCCAAAGACGAGCCAGTCGACCCCCTCGTCGCGCTCGAGAAAACCACAGACTTCCAAACCCACCAGACTAAAGTACAACTCCCCCGACTCGAACAACTCCAATCCGTCTCAGAGCACTACAACTCCGACCCATACGCGCTCTCCCGTCGCGTCCGCAAACATTTCCGCGAGGAGAAGAAAGTAGAGAAACAGAAGGAGGAGGTCGATAATGGGATCAAGGCGCGATATGGTCTCGACTCTGACTTGGTGCTCATAAGGGAGGACGAGGATGCTGTGGCGGCAGCGAAGGATGAGTGGAAGAAGGGGAGGAGTGAGCATGCGAGGGAGCAGGGTGCGAAACGACGGAAATTGGCTTTAGACGCCCCAGTCATCGCATCCGCCTCGTCACTGAGCTCCGTCAAACCTTCAATACGACTGTCGGCGTCTACCTCCTCTTCGTCGAAACCCAAACCGAGGCGAATAGTGTCGTCCACGACGCCCTCGACATCGTCGTCCTCCGCCGTCTCTTCGCTGCGTGCACGCATCCTGACCAACAGTGCTCATCGTAGCGACCCATTCTTATCGTCTTCCTCTTCTCGCCAGAAACCACCAGATCGAACGACGGCGGGCATTTCGTTGAGAAAGGGTTAGAGAGAGTCAGTCACCAAGAGGATGTACCATTTCCTATATAGTCCTTGTACTAATATGTAACCGCACCGTACCAATCTGTATATCCTTACGACTTGTAACACTACGTATACCAACTCCTTGCAACCTATGTAGAGACGCTTGCGAGGTCGTGTATTGTTGGAAAGTGGACGGAGAGCGTTTGTTCGCACGCAGAGAAATTATATCCATCCAAAGGGAACAACCTCGGTATCGATAGCAAGCCAGAACAACAGGTGTACAATACACAGAGCAAGTAGAGAGGAGTAGGAGGGAAAATAATAATCAAAAAAGGGGAACAGCGACGCGAGATCGGCGGTAGAGAAGGAGAAGCGGTGCGGGGGATGGGGGTGGCAAGCAGACAAAATTGAGGCGTGAAAAAAGGGAAGAAATGAGAAGAAAGAAAATGAGATGAGTAAGAGAATCGGCGTAGATCCATGACCAACTACAAATATACCATATAATAATTCAAAACGGAAGAGACCGGGGGAGAGAAGCGAAGCGACAAACGACAAAGGGTACGAGAGCCGGAATACATAGATGAAAAAGAAAGAGGAAAAGGAAAAGAGAATGCGACAGCGAAAAGGAAACATAAAGCGTCCTCTATGAAGAAATTGCCCATGGGTGCTCCGACGTCGGCATGGGTGCGTCCCACTTCCATCCACTAGCCTGATAAAATGCAGCCTCACCGCCGTCGATCTCCTTCCAGATACCCAGACGCAGAGGGTCCTCCTCGCTATCGTCGAGGCCAACAGCCGCGATGTGTGGCGATGCGTTCCCAATGTGATGCATGGCGGTCAAGTGGCCAGCGGCGTCCGCCTCAGAACCTGACTCAGGACTAGGGTTCGTCGACGAAGTCTGAACGAGATCAGGCGTCGGCGCCTTGGACACGCTGACGTCGTCGAAGGAGGAAAGATCAAAGTATTCTGCAAATGGATCAGGGTCGGGTAGCTGACTAGACGGTGGCGAGAGTGGATGTGGCCCATCCAGCTCCAAGCCACCAAGTGCACTCGACGAAGAGCCCTCGCCATTCGCCTCGACGTCAGTAGATGGATAAGCCTTGAGAAGTTCGTTGAGCACATCGCCCAATTCAGAGCTGCCCACGGATGCTTGCGAGCCCTCTGGGTTGGTCGTATTCGTATACTGCGTGATGTTCTCGAGGAACGCGATCAAATCCTCGTCTGACCCGCTCGCAGCGTTCTCGGCGTCCTTCTCCCTTTGCGCCTGGGTGTCACTGGGCGGACCATCCGTATCGGCCTTGACTCTCTTCGGAGACGGTGCCGAAGTGCTCGCCTCTCCTGCCGATGGGCCTTCGTCCTCCCTAGCACGTTTCGCGCTGACCTTGACATCCGCAGGTGTGGCGGGCGTAGCAGGAGTAGCCGCAGCAGCCGTGGACGTCTCTGCAGGAGATGGCGCTGCAGCTTTAGTCGCCTTGCGACGCGTCTTTTTCGGTGCAGCCTTGGTCTTCGGCGACTTGGGCGTCTGAGGCGAGGCCGCCGCCATGGAGGGCGTGACCGCCTGGGCGCTCGGCGTCACAGCCGACTGGGGAGGGGTAGCGCTGGAAACGACAGGCGTGAGACCAGGCGGAAAAGTCTGAGACGGCTTCCGGGTAGGTTGAGCAGGAATGGGGCGCGGCGCAGGAGACCGTTGAGGTAGCGGCGGTTGCTGGTGCGGTGGCATAGGCGACAGGGCGTGCATTCCGTGTTGTGGAGGAGGACCACCTCCGGCGGCGTTGCGCTGCTGGGCTTCCATTACAGAGATAGCGGTCACCATCTGCATGAAGCCATTGTTGGCGTTCTGGATAGTAGAGAGCATGCTACGGAGCGTGTCAAGGTCGACGATGTAGCGATTACTGTTCTGACTGCACTGGTGCTCCTGAAACTTTGTCGACAGAGTCTAAAGAAGCGCTTGGTAAAGACACTTTTGCTTAGAAAGAAGAAGAAAAAGGACATACGATGATAACGAGCTTCTTGATCTGCTCGAGGCTCTGCGAGATGGCGAAATACATAGGCATCTTGTGCTCGAAATCCTTGACCGCAGTTGATAGACGACCAAGGGCCTCATTATACTGCGTGCGCTGGTGCTCGGGAACGTTGATGTAGGCAAAGTTAGCGCCGCCACCTGTCGGACATTGAAGGAGAGATATTAGCATAATCCTGTAGGACGTAAGTAACGGTAATTAAATC